AATTTGAAAAATATTACTTTTGAGAAGCAAAAGAAACACATGTGTGCAGTTGAACCTCGCTCATGTGGCCTGCACACACCATATAGTCGGCAGTTGACCCGTAAGGTGTGCACACTCCCTATAGTCGGCAGTTGACCCGTAACGTGTGCACACTCCTATAGTCGGCAGTTGACACGTAACGTGTGCACACTCCCTATAGTCAGCAGTTGACACGTAACGTGTGCACACTCCTATAGTCGGCAGTTGACACGTAACGTGTGCACACTCCCTATAGTCGGCAGTTGACCCGTAATGTGTGCACACTCCTATAGTCGGTAGTTGACACGTAACGTGTGCACACTCCCTATAGTCAGCAGTTGACACGTAACGTGTGCACACTCCCTATAGTCGGCAGTTGACCCCTAACGTGTGCACACTCCCTATAGTCAGCAGTTGACACGTAACGTGTGCACACTCCCTATAGTCGGCAGTTGACACGTAACGTGTGCACACTCCCTATAGTCGGCAGTTGACCCCTAACGTGTGCACACTCCCTATAGTCGGCAGTTGACATGTAACGTGTGCACACTCCCTATAGTCAGCAGAAAAAAAGATGTGGAATTATTGAAAGCTAGCATCGTTTACAAATAAAATTATTAGTTTCTCTGAAATATCTGAACATTGAATTTTGTCGATTGCTAAATTAAGATTCCTCTAGGTGACTCATCGTCTCAAAAAATCTCACAGCAAAAAACACAGCGCGAAAGCATTACTTGAGTTACATTAGCCGAATGAGCCGAACTATTTTATTATTTGACACCAGTAATTTTCATTTTGGCGTCTACATTATTCAATTTGGTATGATTTTTACGCCAAAATAAAAATAACTGATGTCAAATAATAAAATAATTCGGCTCATTCGGCTAATGTAACTCAAACAACGTGAAATGGATTTACGTTACCTACATACCTCACCATGATATAAAATTACTTTCCACACCATGATTTCGAAATTGTTTTCTGGAGCAATGAAATCGAAAATAGAAAATCTACGAACCGCTTTTGTGGTCAGTAAGCTAATTAATAGGATGGCGATGAGTTTTTTTAGATTAAGATAAGCCAGTTGTGTCGCCGATCGATTTTCAAGAGGTCTTATGTCTTTTCACTATTTTCGAAATTCCTCCTTTAAACATTGTCAAAATTTGGAGTGTATATTTGGCAGTGACCTGCTGTACAAAAGCGGTTCGTAGAATTTAAAAATAAATTCCCAGAACCGAGAAATGATTTAAAATGTCCTCATTTTTAGTTCTATGACGTCACAGACGATGAGTCACCGAGTCCAACGTTAAATACCTAAATTGAGAAACAGGACAACGTCCAGGCACATTCAGTGCATTAATTTTACTCCAAAATTCCAACAACTTCACTAAAAATAGTTACATAATACATTATTTTGCAATCCTCTTAACTCAAATTTTCCTACAATTTCCAAATCAATTCGATTTCGACAAATATTTAAATCCTTTCTAAAAACGACAAATATAGAAGAATTTGCAAAATAATCCGCCCTGTAATATGTCATCATTACATTCATCGACTAAAAAATGAAGACTTTCTTCTCCACCTTTCTCCTCCATTCGCGGAAGAAGAATTCGCCGTCCGAGTCCATTTTACTCCAATATTAAACCCACATAAATTTTATGTTGGGTCGAAATTCGATTTTATTCCGACTTTGGGAGCATAAACCGTGCTTTCTCCCGTCCAATTTCATCCGTCTCTTGGTTACCAGGTTGCCCTCCCCGTGAGCAAAATTGGATTTTAATACGACGAGGAATCAAGGAACAAGAGGAGAGGAATGAATGGAGAAAAGGACAAAATTAGAATTTCGGTGAAAGTCGGCGGCACGATTTATTTATTTCCTTTCTGCTTTCACCCATCGAGAACATAAATCAGGGGACAATTCCAGTCCAGGTGATGACACTGTGTTCTTCGGATGCTGCTTTCACCAAAATATGTGTTTCGACGAGTAATTTTGTTCGAGAGGATTTTAAATTTGGGATGAAATGAGTGAAAGTATGTACGCATGTAAAGCCATCAAGTCAGTGGATTGGATGGATGGAGAGACAGGTGTATTATGTAATCATTTATTTTACACGGAGTGGAATTACTTGCTGGAGCGATACAATTTGCGAAATTAGTGAGAAAAAGGGGTACTCATGAATAAGTGAGGAAGTCAGGTGTTTTATGACATAAACGTATTTATCTTTGAAATTATTACCGTTTGGTAACAAATAGAGACGTGAAGAAGAACAAGAAATGAAAACCTGGTCGATCGAATTAAATTCGAGGCTTAAAATCGTGCTTAACATAATTCTTATCTTTTCGAAAGATTAATTATTCCTGGAAAAATTCGTTTTCTTTCGATGAAGAATCGTTACCGGAAGTGCGTGCAAGATTACAAAATATTTATATCCACCAAGATCGACATGATTTTCAATCCGTATAGAAATTACTATTGATTTGAAAAGCGTAGTACGAACCTTTTTTATATTCCTTGAAAATTTGTGGTGGTAAATCGTTACCAGCGCGGTAAAGCCTAATTCTATCACAATTATGTAACCAATTAATTTTGAGTGCTTTCCACTCTCCTAAATATTGTCCCACCAAGAATGACATCTACTTTTTCGAGATGAACACCCCAAAGATTTTAATTGGGTGAAAGCACCCGTCCTGAAAGCAGAATTAAGCTCGTGGACGTCACAAAGCATGATTGTTTCGTGTTATGTATGGCTCTCGGGTTATGATGTGAACCCAATTTTGTCTGCATTTCACCCACAGAGAGAGAAAGTTGGATGGAGGGGAGAGCAAATTTAGCGGAGTTGATGAAGTGGTCGTGGTGAGAGTGAACGAGTGTTTGTGTGGCTGACCAAGTCCATCCATTTGCAGGAACGGAATTTGTTTGCGAGTGTTGTGTGGGTTGTTCTGTCTGGTTTTTGGGTGGTGAAGGCGAGATCAAAATTTACAATGGTTCAGTGAAAACAGAGAATGGAAACTTGGGGACTGTGTGCAAATTTTGGGATCGATTTGTGTGGGGGGATCACATTTTCTATGGGGTTCCCAATTATATATAAAAAAAATTGGTCACATGCATCAGAATTTAAAAGTTTTCAAGTTTTGATGACGATAGTAATTTAAACTGAAAGTATAACGCTTTTTTAATAAGAAAGATCAGTTATTCGCTGTTCTATAGCTCATTAGCAGTTTGACGCTACAACCCACAGACAGATGTTTCGTAAAAAATTGATTTTATAAGAATTTCTGGGATTTTTATTGGTATTTTCAGACTTTAGTGACGATAATAAATATATAGTGTAAATGTAATATTCAAAATGAACTTTAGGTTTCTTTTTGATCGACTGTATAAATACAAAAGGCGTTAGGACATGGTTTTGACGAATTCGCGGATGAATATCTCTGGCGGGGAGTTGAATTTTGAACTGATTTTTTGTAGGCTGTAAGATCATACTCTCAGAAAGATATGTTTAAAATTTTAGGGCGATAGCTTCAAAAATGCCCCCTCCAGTGCCCCCAGAGTTGGAAGGAGCCAAAAAAACACTTTCCAAACTGAATTACTCATATAGCATGATAACCCAAGAGGTCAGAGGTGGATGATTGTTAATATTACAACCCTAGATAATCATTGCATGAAATAATAAAAGAATCCACAATGAATTACATAACGTTGTGCCTCCATCGTCGCTGATACTTTTTCATGAAAATTGATAAATTGGACCGTGCATAGGAAAATTGACCTGCTGACCTTGAACGCGGACCCACTCGGTCAAATGAAGATTGAGGGCAAAGCTCTAAGTGTCCCAAATAATATTAAATTAAACAGTGAAGATTTTGTGTAAACAGTTTTGGAGAACGACCCTAGCTAATCAGCTGTCGCGGAATCCTAAAAACCTCGTGAACTTATTTGGAAAATTAATGGTCAAATTTTTTAGAAAATAAATTTTACTAATCTTTTTGTGTCCCCTACTGCAGAACTATTTTATCTACAAGGTACAAGTGACAAAATAATAAAATTATTGCGTTTTGGTTAGTTAAATTATTTCTGAAGTTCGACATCGAAAACGACGGGAACTTTTCCAAAAATTTTATAAGGTCTGATGAAAACTCAGTCCGTGGGGTATAACCACTTATCAAAATTTTGTCAAAAGTACTTACAGTGCAATATACTATATGTACCTTGGATAAAAACCACGTTAGGGATTTTTAGCATCAAAGTCGTAAAATGTGGGGGCCTTAAAAGTGGAAGAGTTGCGTTAAAGAGCGCATTCCATTAAGATAAGTATGAAATTAGACTGCAAAACGGACTTAAAAGATAAGCATGAGACAAAAATTGTTTTATATAGTGAAAAGCATGCTGAGTCCCTTAATAATAGTCGCAAAGACGATTTTTGCATCAGGACCTCAGAAAAAAATATATCGCTCAACGCCATTTTATAAGAACACTGGTTTGGAAAACTAAAAAAGGACACCTCTCCAAATTTGACCTTGCCTCATTTCGCAGAGTACACAAAATCGGAAGCCAGATATGCTTACCTATAGTTTGAGACATGGGCTTTCAAATAAAAAAAGTTAGAAATCTCTACGACTAAAAACCATCCCGCAATTAAGGTATGAATTCGTCAAAACCATGTCCTAACGCCTTTTGTATGTAAAGCTCGCATTTTGCACAGATGAAATTTTATAATATCCAACAATTCTCACTTAGAAATTTTCGACAGTAAAATATAAAATGATAAAACAATGAAAACTTGTTCCATTTTTAAAAAGGATACTTAGAAATTTCACAAAAACCGTACGGCTAGTAAAGAAGTTCTTGAACATTACTCGAAATAATCAATATTTTTACTTTGAGAACTAAACAGTGTTTCTGATATTTCTATCAAAAAATCCAATTCAACTGTATAAATGTAATTCAAAAAATATTAATTCGCTTAATCCATTTTCAGGTGCTGCCAACCGGAAACATACGCTTTCTCCCCTTTTCCGTTGACAAGTTCCGACCCGACGTTCACTTTGCGACGCTTCAGTGCAAACTCAGTAATCCGTCGGGAACAATCATCAGTCCGGAAGTCGTGGTTCGTGCAGGTAAGAAATCCAGGGATAACTGAAAGCAAAACTTTCTGGGAAAACTTACACAAAAAATAATGAGTTTTCCTGCCCAAATTTTGTGTCGTTATGTCATTTTAATTGGAAATTGTGTTCTTCATCTCTGGAATTCTTGCAGTGCTGGACACCCCGTTCCACATCCAAAATCCGGACGTGGCCGTGATTCGGGGAAATAATGCCATTTTACGGTGAGCTTTATCTCCCCTTCTTGTCATTAAGAAAATTATCTCATCATTTAGCACATATTTGGACACGTGGTCACATCAAATTAAGAGATGTTTGGCTCAAAAATGACTCGTATCAATCAATCACGTTGTAATTAATGTATGAAAAAGTTGGAACTTCGTGAACATATTAAGGCAATTCACGCAGTCATTGGTAACTGTACAATCCGTTATTATTGTAAAATAATTTTACAAGGTTTTAAAAAATAAAGAGACGCCCTTTATCTGAATAAGTTTACAAAACATTTTAAGCTAATTTTCCTTCGAAATATTTGTGAAAGTTTGCAAGTTTACGGATTTTACGGATTTTAAAATGTTACCTAGCAGGATTAGTAGTCCTGCGTGAATTCCCCTTTGTTTTTATATGATGAAATTATTTCAGCAAGCAACATTTTCAAATAATTTCTAAATTTCTTTCGTTTGACAGACTTTAAAAAAACGGTGGTAGACATTTGATTTTTATATTTTCATATTTGTCAATTATAACGCCGTTTGTGAAATATATGAAACATGGAAATTTCCATTAAGACAAATGAAAGATAACGGGGTCGTCATTCGTTAATACGGATTGTGATGTGTGAGACAAATGCCATTTTTCGGACATGGCTTATTTGCCACTATTTAAATTAATGCCCATAATCTCAGACCACGCATTTATTTTCATACCAGGAGTACTGTGAATACAACTTTCAATTTCAAAAATTTGGACTAATGACAAATTTAACGACGTAATTTTGGCCAGATTCGTTAAAAATTTTGGCGAATTGATTGATGTAATTCAAATTAGGAATAATTTGTACCTTCACTTTTCCGCAGTTGTCTCGTGCCTCCCGAGCTTGTTGACTATATTACTGTGACTTCCTGGGTGCAAGATGGATCACTCAACATTTACCCTAACTTCCAGACAGGTCGGTTGTTCATGTACTCACGTATTTCCATATGTTCCCACTGTTGCGAAAACTTTGCAAAAAATATTTACTAGACATAATTAATTTTGCAAATTTATTCCACCACAAATTTATTCCAAGTCGGTGAAACTTAGGAAGAAAATAATGAAGTTGTGCAATAACACTAACATTTTATCTTTTTTATTTTCCTTCGACCATTTCACCTACACAAGTTCTTTACCTATTTATTTAGCAACTTTGCAACATTGCCAAAGATATACGTCGTAAATTTTATTTGCAAAAAATGATTATCAAAAACAATGCACAGATTTGAATGATGCTTGCCAAGGTTTTTTTTATTCCTTAAAAAATTGTGTTCCAAGTATTCTGGAAATATTTGTAAAAAAAATATATACCGTAAATTTTATTTACAAAATGTTTATTACAAAAGCTACACTTACCGATCTTTACCCCTAGATTTTCATACATGGAAAATTGCAAGCTCCCATTTTTTGAAAAATTAAAAGAAATGTTTAATCTTACAAATTTATTTCAACTTGGCGAAACTTGAGAATAAAACAATGAAATTATGCAACACTAACATTTTATTTGTTCTTTATTATTCTTCCATTTCACCCACACAAGTTGTTTCTTAAAAAAGTTTGGAACACATATTTGCAAAGAAATACGTCGTGAATTTTATTAGCAAAAAATTGTTTATCATAAACACTGCGTAGGTTTAAATTTACTGTAGACTTATTTCACTTTAAGTAAATGAGTTTTTCAGTATTTTCAACCTTGCAAAAATATTTGCAAAAGAGGACACGAAGTAAATTTTATTTACAAAAATTGTTCATAAAAAAAGATATAAAAGATATAAAAGATATACATGTTTGTCAATTAATTTTTCGAATTTGTAAAGACCTGATGAAGGAATAAGCATTCCGAAAGCTAGGGTCAAATTTTACAATAAAACACGATGTCCTCAGAATCCATGCATTCTTCTTCAAAAAATTGTTCATTTCAAAACCCATGGTCGATTTTCAGAAATGGAAAAATGATTTTTTTAACTTGCAAAAACTTCATGCATTCACAAAAAAATATAAAGAACTCTCTGTACCCAACAAATGATGACGCAATGCAATTCCCTACCTCGTCACACTTTTACTTTCATTCTAATTTTATTCTGGGTCATTTCCTCTCCGAGAAAAAAAATTGTCACATAATAAAAAAGCGTTGCGAGAGAGAGGAGAAAGTGGCAGAGAAAGTTTTTTGAGTGGAAACCACCTTTTTCATGTCTAGATTTTTTTGTCACACTTTTTTTCTTCTTCTTTTTGCAGGCAAATGGCTCCTGCTGCCGTCTGGAGAGTTGCGCGTGTTCAGCGTGGACGAGTCTGACAGGCGAAAGGTGTGGGCGTGCCGAACGCTGCACAAACTGACGAACGAGGTGATGACGAGTGAAGGGGCGAGAATTGTTGTGAAAGGTAAGTGAGCACTTGCTCTTTATTTGTACTTTTTCCCCGTGGAGAAAGTCTGGTCGGCAAATAAAATTCGGGTATCAATCTTTTTCCCCTATTTCGGAGAGGATTATGTATGGCGGAAGAAATCAGGGACAAAACGTGTGCATCATGGACCATGTTGACCGTTATCATATTCCATATGTTACTTAACAAGTGACAAGGGAAAATAGGATAAAATGACTAACTGACCAAATTGATAGCATAATACTTGAGTTATTCATATTTACATATTGACAGTCAGTGTTTGCAAAAATCAAGTTTTCTTTATGTCCGGTTACATAAAAAGTATGAAAAACAATTGTGCAAATTTCTCTCGCATCAATTTTGAGCTACTGAAAACTAGAGAGTAAGTTCGTTCTGCATATTACTGATAGTTTTTTGAAACTCGAGTTTACATATCTTAACAATTATTCAGAAAGGTAGCAAGGTTAAGCAGAAGTACACCATCTAATTATGATTAATTTATTAATATACTTAATTGCTACAATACTTACGGAGCTTAAATCTGTCCAAAAATACCAAATTATATCTTGAAGTACGAAATCAAACTTGGTTCAGTTTCTATGATAGTATCAAAAATGGATTTCTGAGGTTTTTTACTCCCTAATTTGATAATGATGCAGAATTACTAATCAATGCATACAAAACTCGTTGAATTAATCCACTCTTAATATTCGAGGACATCAGTACATAATTGTGCAATAATACTAATAATAATAATTACATAAATACTATTCTACACACATACCTACTTCTACTGCAGTTACCTGCTAGTCCTGCTAGTCCTGCTGTCCATTAATTAGAACTATTTGCTAATTGCTTTTACTCAAGTCTTCATAAAGCGCTTAATTAAGGTATGTATTCTTGTCCCATAAATTACTGCAATTTTGGTAGTCATTGCAAATGTTTTAATAATTTCGGCTGAATATGCTATCCTACAACCAAAATGGAGTTGCCTAATTTTGCAATTTTGGCCCACATTTGTACGTATAGATTAAGGTCACAATGTTGATTATTTTGCACAGCAAAAGCATACCAGAAATCTTTAATGTTACTCAATTTGGACGAAAATAAATATAAGTCTGTAAAGTTTTTATGATCAAAATTCATCATTTTTTGAAAACCACACAAAATTGCACACTTTTTTTTACCGAAAATTCAATGTAATTTCACTATCATTTCGAAAACCAATTAAAATCTCTATTTTTAATTTTCAATTGCAAAATTCTGACAAACTTGTATCGCATTTGTGGGAGAGTCTGGAATGAGATTTCCAGCTTTCTCTGTCTTTCTCTCATTTTCCATCCGGAGAAAATAATCCCTTGTAAAATCTCTGGAGAATTGAGCAGTAAAAGCACACAAATCCTTAACAATTAGGTCACTTCCCTACTTTCGTATAACAACTGGCTGCTGCTGGGTCGTCGGCTTATGGTTCGCATGGATGGATGGACGGCTCGATGAGATCGCAGTGTTCCGGAAGTGCTCTTCAAACTTGAGAATTATGTATAAAATAGAATTCGCTACATTCAAATTGCAAACATTATTATCGGCGAACTGAACATTTCCGGTTGTACGTACGCAAACGTGACTAGGAAATCGTGCGAAAATTTGTATTATCTTAAAATGAGGGCAAACTTATCAAATGTATGGGTGAAATAATTTACAGGGTAATTATGACTAAATACTTCGCTTATCAGTAAAGTGAATTTTGCCAAAATTCCTGCTGGACAAACCTGTACAATTTTTTTTAATGAGAGCTTTCATTACCAAAAATATTTTTCTTTCCAAAATTTGACATCCATTAACCAATAATAATAATAACCTAGCCACAAAATAGGGTAGACATTTTAAAAAAAACTCTAATATGTTCGGCGTTTAATTAATCGAATTTTTGTAAAATAAGTAAAATAATAAACGATAAGCAAGTAAATATGTTTCTTGACAAGTTTAGCAAAGAAATTGCAAAATTGAGATGTTCATTTGATCAGTATAAAACTTTACGATTGATTTGGAATCTGATTTTCCTCAAAATTTTTGAAACTTATACCCGATAACAATTTTGAACATGTTTAAGGACTAAACAGTTATATTCATTTAAAAAATTGACATTTCTTTTGAAATTACTTTCTCCCGGAGAACCCTGGAAAACTGGATTTGGATCTAAATGGGCTCCCTTCAGAGGAATATTTTAGCAAAAGTAGCAACAGACGCTGCCCAATTTTGCACAGTTTCCCAGCTGGGATTCTGCTCCCTTTGTGAAAATAAATAAATCGGAAACAAGATCTCTCTCTCCCTTGTAAATTGTAAAATTATTCCAATTGCATTCCGTCATGGAGTTGCATAATTTCCCGAAAAAAATTGAGTTCCTGTGGATCCGTAAAAATAGAAATTGTATAAAAATTGAAAACCCTGCAAAAACTTCCAATTATTTTATTATTAATCCCGAACTGCGAGTCCCGGTTCAATTTCCTCCTCTAATCTGAATAATTTCCGGGACCAATTCATCTCCAAAATTCGTTTCTGAATTTTGAATTCAGAGAAATAGAAATTACTAAATGACAAAATTGTATTAAAAAAATATAAAGTTTTTATCGTAATAAAGTAATTTTTGCTTTATGTTTGTTCAGCCATTTTCCATCAAACAAACACTACTTCCCATTTTTTGCTTGTCGTACAAAAGGCGATCAGACTTACTTTTGACGAATTCAAACCTTAATTACGGAATGGTTTTTAGTTGTAGAGATTTCTAGCATTTTTTATGTGAAAGCCCATGTCTCAAACTATAGGTTAGCATATCTGGCTTCCGGTTTTGTGTACTCTACGAAATAAGGCGAGGTCAAATTTGGAGAGGTGTCCTTTTTTAGTTTTCCAAACTAGTACTCTTACAAAATGGCGTTGAAGAAAATATTTTTTTCTTAGATCCTGATGCAAAAATTGTCTTTGCGACTATTATTAAGGGACTCAGCATGCTTTTCACTATATAAAACAATTTTTGTCTCATGCTTATCTTTTAAGTCCGTTTTGTAGTCTAATTTTAAACTTGTCCTAATGGAATGCGCTCGTGACCGCAACTTCTCCACTTTAAAGGCCCCCACATTTTACCACTTTGATTTTAAAAATCCCTAACCTTGTTTTTATTCAACGTACATATAGTATATTGCACTGGAAGTACTTTTGACAAAATTTTGATAAGTGGTTACACCCCACGGACTGAGTTTTTATCAAACCCTATAAAATGTTTATAACACTTCTCCTGGAAATTGAAATGGAACTTTAAAATTTTTTAACTAATCAATACGAGGTGATTTTATTATTTTGTCACTTGTACCTTGTAGGTAAAATAGTTTTGCCGCAGGGGACATAAAAAAGTTATACTAATTTATTTTCAACAAGATTTGACCATTAATTTTTCAAATACGTTCACGAGTTTTTTTAGGATTCCGCGTCAGCTGATTAGCTCGGGTCCTTCTCCAAAACTGGCTACCAAAATCTTACCTGTTCTATTTAATATTACGTAGGACACTTTCAGCTTTACCCTCAATCTTCATTTGACCCAGTGGGTCCGATTTCAAGGTCAGCAGGTCAATTTTCCTGTGCACGGTCCGATTTATCACTTTTCGGGGTAAAATATCAGCGACGCTGGATCTTATGTAATTCATTGCGGATTCTTTTACTATTACATGCAATGGTTATCAGGGGTTATAATATTAACAATCATTCACCTCTGACCTCTTTGGTTATCATGACACTCTAAATAAAATCATTACCAAATCATTACCAAAATGCACACGTATATGACTCTGCAGAAACGGTAATAATAACCACCAGCTGGTAAAGAAATTGATTGAATCCGAAGTGGTAATAAAGAACACTTTTTGGGATAAAATTAATACCATGATGTATGACAGATGTACTACAATATGTAGTAAAATGTCTACCGCCTGGTAATAAACCCTACCACTTTGTACACGGTGTGCTATTCATACCGGTATTGATGCTTTGTTTTAGTATACCCCATTATTACCAAATGTTGTGCAGATTTCCACCGAAAAGAATAGATTTTTTGCTGTTCTTTAATCTTTCAATCAATTATATTTATTGTAAAATAGTTTTGAAACATACATAACTATAAAATTTAAGTATAATGCAAACTATTGAGTTACAGAAATACACATGTATAAATATTTACATGAAATTTAAATCTGCTCCGATTCCCAACTTAAATTTGTGTTTCACTGAAAAAATAAACGCACAAAATTTGTATTAACTCTTTCCTATTATGATGGTTTTCGATCATCATCTTAATAAGGCGCCTACATATGATAATTTGATACTTACCTATTTCGAAAAATGTAATTTCCAGAAGTTTTTATCAGTTTTTTCCCACGGGCAGCACTGGACACTGGATAATTTCGCCATGTTGACTTGATTTGAGCTGAGTGGAAACTAAAACTGACAAATGCGCCACTGTCTCAATGTTTAGCGTCTCACAATTAACACCAAATGTATTAAAATTCTTACCTCCAGGGTAATAAACTACACCAAAATGTAGATCTCATCAGCACCACATCGGGAAACATTTGTACTACACTTAATGAAAATTATGGTAAAGAGTGTTATCTAAATTTGTAGGATATAATTACCGGCTCGTAGGAGTTTATTACCAAAATTATAAAGATAACTTAGAACATTGCGGTGGAGGGCCAGTTACCCGTTTGGTATTGATACGGTAATAACCCCGTATAATTTTTGTAGGACGCGTAATTACCAAGAGCTCGGTAAAGACGCTTATTAAGAATTCTTTACCAAGTTGCTAAGAGTGGATATATGAATAAATAAGTTTGGAAAGTGTTTTTTTTGGCTCTCTCCAACTCTGAGGGCACTGGAGGGGGCATTTATGAAGCTATCGCTACAAAATTTTGGAAATATCTTCCTGAGAGTATTATCTGATAACTCGCCAAAAA